ATGAAAATGACTCTAACTCGATAGAGGTGTGAAAAAGGAAAAAAGCAAACTGGATCTGAACGTGAAAGAATAAAAAAATGATCCCTGTCTATTTTGAAAATGTTTATTAGAGAGCCCCGTGTGAGATTGTGCACCACTTGGCCCCGCGACCCCTGACCATCTGGCCAGAACCCAACCACCCAATCTCCTTCCTTAATCTTAGACACATTTCTTAGAGTTCTCTCACCCTAGCCAAAGGTATAAAGAAAATGATCTGATCCAGGTTCTGATTGAGATGGTGGTTATAACCAAGTGTATACCTCAACTGTTCCGCTGTCTTCCAGTCGTTCGAGCTTGGATCCCATAAATCTTTAATTCTTGTAATTCCTATTTTGACTCAGTAAAACCAAGGGGAGGAGGAACTATTGTAAATGCAACCATTTGAATCCGTGATCGATAGATTGCCAAGAAGTGGTTGACGAAGTGTCTCCTCATAGCGGTTAGGAAAATGTTTATTGGGTAATGGTAGGTGATGCCAAAATTTCATTAACATCATCCACAGATTGTCCAACGTAAGATCTCTTTTGACTCTACCCTGATCCCCCTCTTCTCTAGAATGTGCATGAGGTCTTGGGATGGACCAGAACGGATCCTCTATCCATGTGCGAGGATGAATACCCTTATTAGATAAGGGGGGGGAGCCTACGAATCTATTCCAACACCATTCTCCGCCATGGTTTGTCAGTAGATAGAAACAATTTTTTTAACCTCTGGATGTATAAGGCTTGGTATTGAATCGTAGGATCGAACATCCCCAAACCCCCCTTTGTTTTGGTTGGATTATATAAAGCCAAACCACCCTAGGAATTACCTTGTCTTGCTCGTGGTTCCCTCTCCATAAGAAGGCTGTGACTTGTCCTTTGAAGACTTTTGTTCGTGCATGACTCATAGTCCAAAGAGCTGACTTATACCAGATGGAAGCAACAATCACATTGTTAATAATGAGTGCCCTTCCAAGATGGAGGTATGCTGATTGCCGCTCTGAGATGCAAGTCTCTGCCCATCCTCCAGGCTTAACGAGTCATCTGTATTCGTAGATACAGGGCGTATTCACACTAGTACTATCTTAAATGTATCTGACCACCTTTACGGCCGCGCATCTGGCTGCAATTCCGCCCAAAAATAAGTATAAACGTGCTAGTGTGAGTATGCCCATAAAAGAGTGTACGGCCTACAGAACAGATCCTGTTCAAGTACAGTTGTGGGCTGGTCAGTTCAATTATGATATCTAAGGGCCTTCACCCTTTTATATTAGAAGGAAAAAAGAAAAGAGTTGTGGGGCCTCCTCTAGGGGGCTCACCTAATGTGGTGAATAAGCTCTGCCTGCACACCGTCCCTACCATCTGCATGGGCACGACAGTGTGGTGAGAGTATGAGTTTGGTGAGTTGGTCCAACAATGACACTACCTTTTTCCCCAAACATAATGCACCCTGATAATGAATGTATACAAGCTACAGTTACGGTCGCGTACGAAGACCGAAATGAGGGTGCGTTGTGTCCGAGGGAAAATGGTAGTTTTTAAACCACCAGTACTTGGGCCAGCTATCAGCCGCGGCGCTTCCCTGCTAACACACCGCGCCTTTAGGGCTTTGGGGTACCAGACCACAATGGCTGGAAGCGCCAGCCAAAAAAATATTGAAACGGTACACCGGTGCTTCGGCAAAAATTGGCACACAGGGGCATTCCAAGCTCCGCATCGATAGCTGGGCCAAGTACTGGTGGTTTAATGAGAAATTGCCCTGGTGAGTGCTCACCACAATTATTTCTCATCAAAAGTATGGTGAGTGACCTCAATTACTGCCTAACGTGACGTGGTTACATGGATGTATCTGATGGCAATTACATCCAGAGTGCGTTGAATTTCGAGAATGCCCTAGCGTGAGTATGGCCTGAGTCTGGTACTTCATTGCCCTCAGAGATGCATCCAGGAAAGTCCTAGTTTTATACGCACAGGCAGGGAAGCACTGGACAGGCATACTGTAGTTCTACAGGGCTGGATGTATGCCCGTGCCTGTGAGGACTGATCTCTCTGTCTCTCTTCTCTCTCTCTCTCTCTCTCTCTCTCTCTCTTCTCGCTTGCTTTTTCACTTGTTGCTGCCGAGCATCCTCTCTCTCTCTCCCTCCCTTCTTCCCCCCTCCCCCCCCCCACAAAAAAAAATCCCTTGCTTTTTTTTTTTTTTTTTTTTTTTTTTTTTTTTTTTTTTTTTCTGGCGACCCACTGATGTATTCCAAGGGACGCTGGACCCGTTTACCAGCAGGTGACTCACTGTTGTAGCTCAAGGAATGGCTTTTTTCAGGAACTTTGGAACCTGTTTCCAGTATGAGCCGAATCAAGGTAAATTAAATGACCCCAGAAGTTCCTCCGGGTCGAATTGTGAGGCACCCGGCCTCCTTTCCATTCTTTGCAATATATTGCAAGGATGTGGCTCCTCGGCAGGCCTAAGGGGCCCCTCACGCAAGTGTGCCTGCCCTAAGTGAAGGCGGGCCTAACAAATCACGAGAGGCCGAATGCTGTCAATTTCGTATTTGGGGTTCAGGCAGTTGTGTCGCGTCAGTTGGTTGAGGGAACCCAGGACCCGAGCAGCAAATACTTTCCACGACCTTCTAGGCCTTTTCTGAAATGCATGCCCAGGGCCATATTCGCTGCAACATACACAGACAGTTGGGAGGATGATGATGTGAGGGCTCCTACCTGGTATCGGCTATGGTCTGCATTGCATTGGGCGACATCTTCATCTACTTCGATGGCTGCTGACGTCAACAGCTGCATTGTCAATCCATAGGCAGATAGTAGCTGTGTGGGGAGTAGTCTGGGCAGAGATAGAGATGAGGATGATGATGTGAGGGGTCATACCTGGTATTGGCGATGGTCTGCATTGCATTCGGCGACATCTTCATGTACTTCGGTGGCTGCTGACGTCAACAGTTGCATTGTCAATTCATAGGCAGATAGTAGCTGTGTGGGGAGTAGTCTGGGCGCCAAGGGCCAAGTAGGGGGAAGGGCCTGGACTCTGATGTTGGTGATGACGAGAGTAAGCTCTCATTGACATTCAGTTTCAGTGTTTCCGTTCTCCATTGGTGTATTATTGGTGCAATACTGCTTTCTGGACACTGTGAGACTTTCTGGCTTTCGATGTGATCGTGTAATCTGGATTATGTCATCTCGCTATTGATCATTTTAACTTGCAATATTCAGTACTTTCAACAAAAACAAAAAACAAAAAACAAAAAAAAATTAAAAAAATCGCTTGCTTTTTCACTTGCTGCTCGAGATCCTGCTCTCTCTCTCTCTCCCCCTCCCTGCCCGCCCTCCCCCCCCCACCACCACAATCTCTTGCTTGCTCACTTGCCGCGGGTGAGCCTGCTCTCTGTTTGTCTGTCTGTCTGCCCCCCTCTCTCTCTCTCTCTCTCTCTCTCTCTCTCTCTCTTGCACGCTGGGTTGGTCGCGAGCCTGATCTCTCAGTGTAAACGTCGCTGAGAAGGAGCCGCCACCGCACCCAGAATCAAGGGCATTGGGTCTCCCCACATAGCGGACGAAGCGAGACGAGAAACGAATGCACCTTCCCACTAAAGGTGGCAAGATACGTTTGAGATCCACTGGAGATCCACTCGGTTCTTTCTGGTGTGCCGTGCGCAGAGGGCCATGATTTTCTTTCTTGTGTGCCGTGCGCAGAGGGCCATGATTTTCTTTCTTGCGAAGGGATGGCCTCGCTGCACGACTCTCGACATGCACAGAAGACAAAAATCGTTGCAGTGCATCTTTCCATGTTCTAGCGAAAGATTCACTCTCGTTTCGCACATTTCGAGAGTAATGGAGCGAAGCTGAAAGAAACGAGTTGGGAAAAAAAGAAAAAAAAGAAAAAAAAAAACACGAAGAAACGAGTTGGTATGGTATTCAGCGTCAAGCAAATGAAAAAAAAAAAAAAAAAAAAAAAAAAAGAAAAGAGAAAAGAAAAAAAAAGAAAAGAAAACAGAAGAGAGGGCGAAAAAAAAAACAAAAAAAACCCTGAGTTTGAAAGGCGGATGTCAACGTTTCGGCAATTCGTTGAATTTTGAGAGGGAAAAAAAGAAAAGTCTTTTTTTGAATTTTTTTTTAGCAATTTGATGACCTGTTCTGTTGCTCCTTGCTGGACGTCGGGACCGATCGCAAATCCAAGTGGCGCCAGATACCGGTCACTGTTCATTGCTACCTTTCTGTGGACCTCGCTCCACGGCACAACATTCTAAACGCACCTGGATGACTGATCGTCCCAATACATACAACATGTTGAATTAGTCTGAATGTATCTCGTCGAAAATGCGGTCCACGTGCATGTACAATGCTGTGTAGTGGAGCGAGGCCCTGTACTACAGTAGTCCCCTATGGTAGCGGTAGCAGTGTGTATCGTTGTCAGAACCTCGAAAGAATCAACTACTTGAAAAAAAAACTTAGATAAAAAAAATTCGACTACCGTCTTCCCCCGAACATAACGCACCCTGGAAATGAATGTATACAAGCTGTATTTCCGGTTCTGTACAGCAATAATCAGGGTACATTGTGTTCGGGGGAAGACGGTGGCCGTCAGCACCTCCTCTCCACACGCTCCTTCCTACCCGCGTCCCTCTCCCCCCCCCCCCCCCCCCCCCCCTCTCTCTCTTTCTTTCTCTCTCTCTCTCTCTCTCTCTCTCTCTCTCTCTCTCTCTCTCACACACACACACACACACACACACACACACACACACACACGCGCACACCTGTCTCTTATACACATCTAGATGTGTATAAGAGACAGCACTCACACACACACACACACACACACACACACACACACACACACACACACGCGCACACAAACACACACACACACACACACAGCTGTCCTTGTTGGGAAGCAGTGGGGTCGGTGCTGTTTGCTTGTATCGTTCTTGTGTTGGCATATCTACCGCGATGGTACAAACACTTGGTCAGTTTGCGGCGCTGAGGAGCAGCCGGCATCAGCGAGTGACTGCGAGTCCGCTTGCAGTCCGAAGCCCGTAGGCATTTTGCGAGTGTGGTGCAGGAGCTGCAGTAGTAGTGCTCAGAGATAACTTAGAATTTGTCAGAACGTGGACCAATTCTTTTAGAGAGAGAAGCCGAAATGGCGCGATCTGGGTTGTCGTCATTCTCGATGGCGATGTCGGCTATGTCGTCGGTCCTGCTCGTGCTGTACTTGTCGCCCATTTTTGCAATTGCTGCCTTTGACAATGCGGGTGGTCGTGTGGGCGACACGCGCTGCCCCAAGGACTTGTCCTTCACTCTCCCTCCCGTTCGAATGGCTTGCCGTGACGGCCCTGAGGTTCCAGCCTGCTGCGAATCCATGCAGCTCACGGCGATGGCGGTGATGAAGTGGACGAATGGGAACCCGATTTGCGCGGCAGAGTTCTTGGACGCCCTCGTGTACATCGGCGGCGTGCCCGAGGCCTCCATCGCCTTGTGTCTGGACGTCGGGGAGGACACTGTCAACTTAAATGTGAATCACCGTGAGCTGCAGGAGCTGTTCTACGCCGCAGCCGGGACGACGGTTCTGTCATCGTCGATGATGGGGTCGCAGGCGGCGCCGTCGTCGATGTCGCCCCCGCGCCGCAGCGCGGGCCCGCCGGCTTCTAGAAATTCTCCCCGGCTCTGAGGGGAAGAGGGCAGAGGGCAGAGAGGGCAGAGGGAGGGGAACAACACCAGCATAAGGAGATAATTTAAATAAGAGGCGGGGGAATTGCCGCCGCGAGAGAACCGGCGGGGCGCGGGGGAATTGCCGCCGCGAGAGAAGCGGCGCGGCGCGGCGCGGGTGAGAAGGGAAGGGACGCAATTTGCGCGCAAGGATTTGCCGCGAATTTCCGCAGTTTTCAGAGTGTTTAGCGGCGGCGAAGTTACGGAGTTGTTCACAGACAAGG